AGAAAATGAAGTGCAAAGTTTCTTTCTAACTCAAAAAACTAATATACACAAATGAGAGTGGAAAAGAAAACTGTTGATTAAAAGTGCTTACAGGCTCTCCTTTGATGCCACCACCATACTTGCTTTGTACCTGAAGACAATGAGCCCATAAAACAAAAGAAAGCGTTAGAGAATAAAAATCTTTCCTAGGCCACAACCACAACCTTGAGCTCTTGGTTGAGTTAAATCCTTGACATGGTATCAAAGCAGGTTTGGTACCAAGTGCTAACTAGGTCAGGCTAAGGCTAGTTACCACTTGAGAGGGCTTGTTAGAGTTCCCACATTGGAAAATAAAAAGAAATACCACTAGCATATATAGAAGGGTGAAGCCCTACCCATCAGCTTAAGCTTTTGGGTTAATTGTGGATCCCGACTTTTATATGCAAGTGGTTAATTTTAACCAACACTCCATCCATTGTTCTCGGCCCACCCGACTTTTAACAGAAAGTACGAGTAAATAGACCTAATAGGACACTGGCAGCTGAAAAAGAATTTATGTTACAGAATACATAACCTTTTGCGAAAAGTTGGATACATCAAGTAGTAATAATTTTGCCTTGAATTGATGAGCAAGAGCCTCTGCAAGACATTGCTGGAAAGGTTCTGCAAACATATTGCATTGGCGAAAAGAAAATGAATAGATAGTCACAAAGCCCCAAGTTAGCTCTTGGTGTAGGAGACTGAGTCATACATACCAGCAGGCCCTGAAAGCAATATCGCCCTGCTAGCGGGCGGGAGATTTTGAGTGTGTCTAGACATATCCATGTGATTCAGATGAACATACGCTGCGCTGGTCAGTAACTCCCGCAACCTTTCACTGCAAATTAGTAACCAACATCAAATGAAAGCTAGGCGCGCAGCAAAACATGAATACACTACTACTGCTGCAAATAAAATAGGCATATATGGATTGGGAATGCACTTAATGTTTCCAAAAACACTTTGAGACATGGTCTCCAGCAACCATTAAATACTATGCCTTTAAGCAAGAAGACGAATACGAATAACTCTGTGGAAACGTAGAGATCTGGAGGGTTACTTAAATCACTTAACCAAAAAACTTTTTAGAAACATTTTCCATTCGAATACCAAAAGAAAATTGCTATGCAAATAAAGGTTAGAAGAAGGAAAAATTGGATCAGCGAGGAAGGACTCAGGATCGGGGGGAAGCTGAAAAGTTACGATACAAAGAAATTGAGGATCTAAAACGCTGCCAGGCGGCTTGCCTGAGGTAGTAAGGGAAGTTATCGAAAGACACGTCAGCATCCTTGCCGTCCTGGACAAGTCGCCGGAGCTCGAGCTCGATTTGGTCGGCGGTAACTCCGCCGGCAGCTGAATTGGCGGCGGCGCCTGCAGCTCCCGTCCATCTGCTGATGGCCGGACCGGACGCCAAACCCAACCCCACCCCGACGCCTACGCCCAGTGCGGATATGAGCAAGCTCTTCTGCTCCATTGATATATTATGGATCCCAAGCAAAGCAAAGCAAAGCAAGCCTATCAGATATTTAAATATTTAATGCCTGTGATGNGGGGGGAAGAAGAGCAAGTTGCCTCCTCGCTGGGTTTTTTTTATTATGGGGGGAATTGATGGCCTTTACGAAACAGACAGACAAGTGAGAGAAGACGGTCACAATTCACTCTTGTGTGCTCGGAATCTCTCATTAATCCATTCCAAATATATAGGCGAAGGCGAGAGCCAAGTGGTGGCGGGGAAGGACCCTCTCTCCCATACTTTTTTGACTTCCACTTTACTTATGAGTCATATGTCCACTCTTTTTTGTATTGGGAATGGGGATACAAATTGAAGACATTCACCATTCATTCATTGATTTCCACTCATGCAAGGAAATTTCAACCTCTCTTTACTTACTAGGTACGAGTACTTGTTCCTTTCAAAAGATAAATTTACTAGAAAATTTTTGTTTGCTTTTCACAGAATTTAAAAAATAAATTTATATTGTGTGAGTTTATGCAAACTAGGAAGATATAATATAAAATAAGCCTAATAGCTTCAATATCCTCTATGGTTTAAGAAATTGACATCAATTTACTCTCTCTTTTCAAAACTTAAAAGGGCCCGTTTGGTTATTTTTAGAGGTGCGATACGATATGAGTTTTAAATTCGGTAAGAAATGATATGAGCTTTAAAATCTAAAACAAAGTTGTTTCGAGAGATCTAAAATCATGAATTATTTAGTGATAGAACGAAGTGACCGACAATGGGAGTGACAAAAATGAGGTCGGAATACCAAACTAGCACATAATCTAGGTAGAAATAAGTGTAAGGATATGATTTTATATACTTATATTCACAAGCTCAAATGCACTCACAAAATATGTTTAAAACCTTCTTACAATCATCTTCAAACACCCAAAATGTTTTAAACAAAATTAGAAAAGATTTGGACAAAAATAAAAAAAAAAATCCCAGAGAGTTTAAGGATAACTATCCCAGAGAGTTTTAGCGTGAGAAGGTACGTAGCTACCGTATAGTACCTAGCTAACGTGACAAGGTACCGTAACCGTTGAAAGTTCTGTTCTTGATTGTTGAAATTGAATTTAATCAACCCTAATGACCTCTCAACGGCTAATTAACACCTTCCACAATAAATACAAGCTTAATCCTTCATAGTTTAACAAGAAATAAAGCTCCAAACATCCTACTTTTATATTTTAAGTGTGTTTATCATTTTACTCTTTATTTTCAATATTTTGGTTATTTCAAGAGCCCCATTCTCCTGATTTTTATACACACACTTTGAGCTTATGTTTTAGTGATTTACTCCGACATTCATTAGTTTTTATTGTACTTTTGAGAGAGTATAATTTTGTTCTACACCGACTAAATCATATTCTTCATTTTTGTATTCAAGCCATTGTGCAGAACCATTTCTTGTGTTCTTCAAACACACCTTCTTACGGTCAAAAATAGCCATTAAATTCTAAAGTTCTAACGGTCGAGGATAGCTAAATAAATCCTTGAGTAAAGGTTTAAGGATAGTCTTTGAAATCCTTAGAGGAAACGGTCGAAGATAGTCGTGAAATCTTCATTGTAAGCAGTTCAAGATAGCCATTGTAAAATCTCAAAGTGAATCCCTTTTTGCAAAGGTTGTTTGCCAAAACTAGTATGGCGCTTTTATAGAGTTCAAGAGACTGAGACTTAGTTGATTCGAAAGTCTTTAAGGAGGGGCCTTAAGATACTGGAGTAGGAGTTTCCTGAACAAGTCTAAAATTTGGTATGTTCTTATTTTACGCTTTTATTGCTGCATTTTATTTATTGCTTCCGCATTTGCCAACATCGTATTTATCAATCTCCGAAAAGTTTTAAATGCCTTAATAATAATAATAATAATAATAATAATATAAATATTGATGATAATAGTAATAGTAATAATAATTGTAATAATAATATTAACAATAATAATATTATTATTAATAGTAATAATAATGACTGTAATAATAATAATAAATATAATAAGAATACAAATAATAGTAATAATGATACTATTAATTGTAATAATAATGACTACAATAATAATAATAGTTATATTATTAATAATAATAGTAATAATAATAATAGTAATAATTAAAATCATAATAATAATTATAATCATTATCATAATACTAATAGTAATGGTAATAAAATTAGTAATAATAAGAATTATAAGAATAACAATAATAGTAATAAAAATGATAGTAATGATAATAACAATAGTAATAAAAATAGTAATAGTAATAAAGATAGTAGTAAGATCGACTAGTAATAATAATCTTTCTATATATAATGCTTGGATCCTCTTTGGAACAGTGTTCCCGCCAAAACTAAGCTTGCTTCATTGGGCCAAATATCCGACTGGGCTATAGCGGGCTGGGCAATGGGCTATGTCAAATCAGATTGGGCATATCAAAAAAGTAAAATCAGCTGTGTCAAATCACATGAGTTGTCATGTCACTCTTTGTTAAAGTGGTGCGCTATAAAGTAAATAAAAGGGTTGTGTGGCTCCATAAACCAAATCTATTACAATCTAATCCATTATTACACTTACACACCATGTAATAATCTATTACAATCCACTTGCACCATTACACATACACTCCGTATATATATATATAGACCAGCAAGCTTTGCATAATGTACACATGAGTGCTAGCAAGTAAACTAAAACTATTACAGTCCAGAATATTAGGAGTGCGAACCATGTTTGCTCCAATTACGTCTCTAAACAACACTAAAAAAAACTTGGATTCTCATGTTAAGGGCTGTGCGCGTTTACTTTGTTCTGAAGTGGGCTAAAGGCGGGGATTCCATGGAGATCATATTTCACGATGAACATGTATCGTATTCTCCAAGTTTTGTATTGCATTTTTTGAATTATTATTATTAAATTTAATCTCAATATCTCACTTGCTTTTTTTTAAAATAGGGAACGAGGATTCACGCTCATCTCAACCGACCCGAAAAAAATAAATTTGCAAATCAAATCACTGAGGGGGGTGTTTTTGCCATTCGAAATGTTTTTGTTCATGATAACTACCAAAGTTTGAAAACCACTTCAAATGATAAGCTTTTAGGGTTTTTCGAAGACACTGAAGTGAAAACTTTGTGTCGGCTGGATTTTCCAACCTTCATGCTTGACCTCAAGTCATTTCCAGATGTTCAAAGCCAACCATGTTTGAATGATCAGCTCTTGATTGGTATTACTTTTTTAAAAAAAATTACCGCAAGACATTGTTTGGCAAAATCAAGTTTAATCCGGAAAAATAGGTTATCCTCTTTGAAAATCGTGAAATATTAATGCAGATGTGATTGGAAAGATAGTGGCTCGAACAAGTGTTCAAACAAACTCAAGGAGAGGCTCTGAACAGAAATTGATGGAAGTTACCCTAGAAGATCATGAGTATGACTTGATAATTACAAAAATGAACATGATATAAATAAATGGCACATTTGGATTAGCTCTATTACGCAATCTTACAGGGGAAATCGTTTGGGTTGCACGCTATGGGGAGAATACGTAGACCGATTCATGGATTGTTTGACCCAAAACAACCAAGAACCTGTTATCATGCTTTTGAGCTTTTGCCGCCCGAGGCGCTATACGGGTAAGCAATATACATTTTGTATTCATATCGAAATTTGAAGATGATTGAAATCTAATTTTTTTCCCCATGTTTTGCAGGGACAGTTACTGTCTCTACTGCATTTCACGTTACCAAGATGATTTTCGATGGTAATTCTCCCGAGGTTGAAGATTTTAGGGCAAGGTATATTATTTCTATCTAAATATCGAATAATTCATGTCTATAAGAAAAATCTACTTATGTAACGTATTGTAACTTTCACGCAGGTTGCCTCCACAAGTGGATGACGGAATGGGAAGCATTGTTTTGAGCAATGGAGATTCTGGGGACCAAGGTGTCATCAAAACAACCACTATCAAAGATCTTTTGGACAACATGAAGGTAAATACGATGCTTTTAATATTATAATACCCATATTAATGATATCGTGTTTTATTTAAAAAAAATATAATATTTTTTTGACAGCCTGGGCCTTATTGGATTCTGGGAGAGATTGCATCACTAAATGATTCAAGTAATTGGTGTTACTTGGGTTGTACTGAGTGTAACAAGAAGGTCATTCCGGATGGTGATAAGTTCAAGTGTTCGGGTTGTGCAGTTACTATACCGCATGGGGTTTATAGGTAAACAATCATACATATAAAAAATAACACAACAATATATTCATATTATCATTTGAATTGAAATAATAATCACGCAGATAAATCTTTATTTAATAGGTACAAGGTCAGTGTTCAAGTCTATGATCACACCGGTCATGCTTCATTCTTACTTTGGGAGCGAGAGTGTAAAGAAGTCTTGGGTGCAAGTGCGTTTGTTTTGAGAGAGATTATGATTGAGGTTTGTCAACACATTTTTTCCAAATTTTTTTTCTTATGAAGTCAGTGTATTCGCTAAATGACAAACTAATTTTATTGTTATTCTCAATTTTCTAGAAGGACATGGACCCAAACTTCCTACCGCTAGAACTTAATCGCTTCCTTGGTCGTAAGGGTTTATTCCATATATTGTTGAAGAACGATGTTGGGAGTCCAAGTTGGATTGGACCGAGAACTTTCGGGGTGAGATCTTTGGTTACCGACCCAAAGATCTTGAGCAAGTATGAACATTTGGTTGTGATTGAAGATGAAGAAGCAGACAAAGAAAGCGAAGGTCTATGGGCATCTCTTGAGGATTTGAGTCAGAAAGTGCATGAAGTGGTAAATTAAATAAATAATTAATTCTTTCCTTAAGCCACGTTATTCCTATGGAGGAGCTAATTTTTTCTAATCTTATAGATTGTTTCCAATAATCCAAGCTCTAGCCAAAGTGTCAACTCCAAGCAAAAAAGGATTTCCGATCTGGACGAGAATGAAGCCGTGAAAAGGGAGCTGTTTGATGAAATCTCAACAAGTGCAAGCAAGAAAATGAAGAAGGAAACTGCTAGAGACTGAAATTCCGACTCATTGGGGTTGAAAATCAATGTTTTTTGTTTCTTTGAACACCCTATCTGTTTTGTGTTGTTGTGTGTTTTGTTTTGAAAAGACTGTAGGGGGGTTTACTTTTGAGGTTATCAACATTTTTTGGATATTGTTTTGGTTGTAACCTCCGAAACTTATTTTATTTGAAGTTTTTGGTCGTCATAACAGAATTATTGCACTATAAATATCTAAATTACATACAAGTAATCGTTGGATTTTGATATCGTGTACTTAATACTAATTCAATGCCATTGCTCAAATAATTATACGGCATGAATATACGGACTATGTTAGAAATAACATCAAAACGGATAGATATTAAACTACCATGTTCAAAAATAAATGCACACTTCCAAACGGTATAGCAAAGTATAAACTGTTTATATATATATATATATATATATACTTTATATATATACTTTATATATATATATATATATATATATATATACAGCCACGTATTAACTGTTTTTAAAAAATTATGACACGCAAAATGACAGCATATTAGGATTCAAACATTGTCATTTATTACATTGAATAATGTATTGGGCGTGTGGCTCAAGGTCTGGGGCTCAATGTGGATGATTACATTTTCAGAATCTAATTTGATTGTAAGACTCCATACACAGTGCCCATAATCATTAAGTTAGATGTAACATAAAATAATTAAAATACTACTTATATTTTATTGAGTTCTGGTGTAATAAGAAATATCATTTTACACTGTCATTCCTTATGCTTTAAAAAGAATATGAATTTAATCGTTAAATTAAAAGTCGTTGAGTGTGATTTGGTATCGTCCAACTATGATGTTGCTTGAATTTTTTAAAATCGGGAACATTTTTTAAGTATGGGCTCGCATTCATATAGAGTCGTGATTTGCTATTGGGCCTAGCAATATGCCGTCGACGTGGTTATTTGGTTGTCCATGGAAATGGACAGCCCACACCTACACGAGCACGCCAACATGGATATGGCCCAAAATATGTGATTTACACTACTTATAAAATTTTATTCTAACTCAATAAGCAAAACATTTGGGGAACTTAACTTTTATGAAAAATTTAAAACAATACATAATGTATTACAAAATTAACTTAATTATTTTTATTAAATTAAGGTCGTCCACTAATATATAGATTCCAAATTTTTGTAAAGATATATATGTATATATATGTGTGTGTGTGTGTGAGGACGGGACAGCCAATTGATAATTAGATACCATGTACTTCTTTGCATTAAATGCATATCTACATATACCGGAGTATATCTTTAAAAAATATTGGCTAAGTACTTTTTACTTTGCACACGCCTAGATATGTATAGCCTAATTAAGTACTTTGCATTAAATGCATCCCATAGACAATGACAGCCCATGCCTAGAGCCACACGCCGTCAGCAGTTCCAGCACAATAAATGACAATTACCCATCACCATTGAACTAATTTAAAAATTTTAAATTAACAATTAATAACGGAATTCATTTTTTATTTCTTAAAAATAACATACTAGAATTTTGTCTTCAAAACTAAAAAAAAACAATTCAAAAACTATTTAATCTTCGAATCTTTAAAAGTAATATTTTAATATTTTAAACATAGAGTAAATTAATTTTATGAATAAAACTAATATTTTAATATATATAAATATATATATATATATATATATATATTTCTATGACAGTGTGTATAATATTATCTATTCATATTAAAAAATTATAATTTTTTTAGTGCCAGTAACATATTTGCTAAAATGACACTAAATTAAAATATAATGTCAGTAGATTAAAATGTACTTGCTCAAAGTAGATCCGCACGCCTGTGCCTGGCATAGTCTCAAATATCAATCAAGTATAATGAATTAAATGCAGGCCATTATATTAGAGTATCCCACGCCTAGAACAACTACCCGACACAAGATCCAGGCCATTAAATGCAACTTCTTATCAACACTTAAGTTATTTGAATAATAAAAAAACAGCAAATAAAGGATTTCATGTTTTGACCCAGGATAAAACATACATTTAATGGAATGTACATTCCTTCAAAATAAAAATAAATTTTTATCGAAGAATATTTGGTGGTTTTTTGTATGGCAGTTTTTAAAACAATTATTAATTTTTAGTTCCAAATTTGGTTTTATACATACATACATAGATAAAGTAAATTGATTGGGATGCAAAAAAAATTTATACATACATAATAATTTTAAGATTAAAAATTAAAAGTTTCAATTTACGTAAAAAATGTATATATATATATATATATATATATATATATATATATAAAAGTTAGTGTGAATAGTATTATGAATTTACGTAAAAAAAGTATAAGTATTAATACATTACTATATTTAAAAAATATATGTGAAATTATTCGAATATATATAAAAATATAGATATAAATATAAATATAAATATAAATATAAATAAATATAAATATATATATATATATATACTTATTTATTTCTTTCTCTGTGAGTGCCATAATAATATTATGTATTCATATAAAATAGTAATATTTTTTTAATAAGTTACATATATCCTAAATTATAAATAAAATATTACACTCAGAAATGAAATTTTACATTATGCAGAGAAAAAATAGACTTGGGACGTATGTATCCACATCCCTATGCTGAGCAAAAGCTTAATTGTGTAACCTTCATTAAATGCACTATAAAGTATACAAGTCTTTAACTACTTCCCTCTTTCTTTCCTCATTTATTTCTGATCATCCTAACCAACAACCACATTTATTTTGAGCTTTAGTAATTCTATCAAGCATTCACAAGTCCATTTCCAAGGTCAGTAGTCAATTACCTTCTTTTATTCCTTATTGAATGTTAACCCGTATTACTTATTTTCAAGATATAATAGAAAATATACTTATATAATGTTAATTGAATTGATTAATTGGCTGGATGATTAATGAAATACTTATAATCCCAGTTTAGTATGAAATTTAATGTTCTTCAATTAATAAGATTATGATGTTGGTATTAGGTTACCTGTGACTGCCTGGGATGAGAAAGCTTACCAAAAACGAGAGAATCAATCCACATCTTGATTTCGAAGAGGAACCAGACAAAGGTGACTTTAATACCTAAGAATATTTTTGAAACAATTTAGACTTATTACAAGAAATCAGGCATGAATATGTGTTCTGTTAGTGTAATAGTAGTCTGGAATTACCTTTCTTAGAATCAAAGCCTCAATTAATCCTGTGGTTAGACCTTTTTTTCCTCCCGTAAGAACTTGGTAATGTGCCATTGAACCTTTATCATGCTCAAACACAGTTCTGAACACGAATACTCAGGTATAATGACTTTTCAAAACCATGAAATTTAATACTTACATGAAAATTTAACCCTTTTTTCCAGTATGTATATATATGTATGTATATATATGTGAATCTATTTTCAATTTAAATAGAATTGATATATATATATATGTGTGTGTGTGTGTGTGTGTGTGTGTATGTAAAATCTTTCAAGGGTACTTACAAAAATATTAATAAGTAATATGTAAAATCTTTTTACGGACTGATTAAATGAATCAAGCCATGGGCTTAAAAAAATAATAACGTATATATATATATATATATATATATATATATATATATATATATATATATATATATATATATAGGTATATATGTATACCACAAAACATATGTTAATGTGCAATTGAGCCTTATTCATGACCAGAGATTACTGAACATGATTACTGAGGAACAATAACTTGGGTAAAGCTTTAATCTGTACTCCCTCATATCAGAATATAATAGTTTAAAATTGAAGAACAATTTTTAGAAGTAAAGATAATATATTCTTAAAAAATACGTGTTTTTCATTTAAAAATCATATCAATTTCGTCCCCAATGACTGAATTACCTATAAATATAACTACTTAAAATGCTTTAAAAATCAAGAATTCACATTCCAGAATTTATTTTGACCAAAATAAATCATCAGTAGAACAAGTAATTCATGCAATTTGCCAATTTGGAATGTGAATCAAATTATATAGGGTATTCTTAAGTACAGATCTGTAAATTAAAACAAAAAAAACAGATCAGAGATTCTTTGAGAGTGAATATATTTGCCATATTTCAAGATCTAGAAATATAGAACGTGATTTAAGAGGAGAATAATCAGATCAGATATTCCATGAGATAGAATAATGTTACCGCATGATGAAAATTATGTGTCGGAGTAGTTTAAAACCGAAGCAGGACGTTGGCGTATACATCGATAGGATCCAGATAACGATTGTATATGATCTTAGGAGGCGTTGAATGCAAGGAAGATGTAGGGTTTCTAGAGAGAGATACAGAGACGAAGGGAGCGGCGGAAGAATGAGGGGAAAGAAGAAATTAGGCTAAAAAACGTAAATGTATAAGGTTTTGGGCCACATTTCATTTGTTTTGAACATTAGGGCTGGGCTGAATTCAAGCTATGGGCCAGCTCAATACTCCAATTATTTATTATTGTATTCTTTTACCTTTATATATTAAAAAATTCTAATACGCTTTTTTTTATTACAAATATAGGAGGAATTGGAAGTTTAATTGAACCGTGTTACAAGTGCAACAATAACGAAGATTCACTTGATATGGAAATGTGTTGGAAATGCTTTAGTGTCGTTGGTCATATGCGTTGCTTGCTAATTGGATATGATGATTTTGGTCCATTGTTTGTTTGTGAGGATTGTGCTATTTTACCACCTCCATCGCCCGCTCCATTGCTTATTTCTCCTCCGCCTAATTCACCACCTCCGCCACCAAATTCTCCCTCCGAGCTGCGAATGAAAATAACTATGTTTCCAGCATTGAGAAGATCTAAGAGGGTTAAAATAGCCAACCGAAAATATTTCAATGATGACTATGTTGTTTTATGTTAATCCATCACTTGTTTTGGATTAATCACTATTTAAGTACTTCGTACTTCATGTTTTTTGTTTGAATATTAGCGTCAATGTTAGTTTTTCTTATAAGCTGTTTTGGTAGTCTACAA